CCTCACACCTTTAACAAGAAATTAATTCAAAGACTGACTCATAGACTCAAATGGAAGAGCTAAAACTATAGAACTTCTGGAATAAAACATAGGAGAAAATTATTTGTGACCCTGGATTAGGTAGAGGAATACTAAATGCTTGATCCATAAAGAAAAAAACTAGTAAGTTGGACTTCATTAAAATAAAAACATTTGCACTTCAAAAGAAATTGATAAGACAAGCCAGACCAGGAGAAGATATTTGCAAACCATGTTTTACAAAGAACTTGTATTTAGAGTACATGATTATAAAGACTCTTATTATTCAATAAAAACCAATTTAAAAGTGAGTAAAAGACTTGAATAGTCACTTTGCTAAAGAAAATATACCAATGGCCAACAGCACACAAAAGATGTTCAGCAACACTAGTTAAGAGAAATGCAAATCAAGCCCCAAATGAGTCATCACTTTTATAGTCACTAGAATAGTATCATCACAAAACACAAAATTACAAGTGTTGGAAAGGACATGGAGAAATCAGAACACTCATATATTGCTGGTTGAAATGAGGGTGTAGACACTTGGGAAACAGTCTGGAAGTTTCTTAAAAAATTAAACATAAATATACTATAAAAGGTTGCAGTAGCACTCATATATAAATTTACCCAAGGACAACGAAAATACATCCACACAAAGACTTGTACCCATATGGACTTGAGCAGTACAGGAAATCAATCCAAAATGTCTACCAGTTGCTATGCGACTAAATAAAAAATTGAAAGGGCTACACAGTAGAATACTACGCAACAATAAAAAGGAAAGTAATACATGCTACACCATGAACCTCAAAAATATTATGCTAAGCATGAGAAAAAATCAGTTGTGACAATACACAATCATCTGATTCCACTTATATAATATCCAGAAAATAAGTAGATTAGTAACCCAGTGTGAGCCTGGAAGTAGTAATGGAGAGAACAGAACATGGACACAAGAGATCTTTCTGAGGTGATGGAAATGCTCCAAAATTAATCTACTGTAATGGTCACACAACTCTTCAAATTCACCAAAAAATCACTGAGATTTTAAGTGGCTGAATTACTTAAGCTGTGGCTCCTTCAAACTGAGGTAGGGAAGCGTTGGTTCTAGATTTAGTCTGCTTGGATTCAAATCCAGTCTATAGTCTATTGGCTATATCACTTGGGCCAATAACTTCAACTCTCTTGACGTTGTTTTCTCCTCTATAAACTGGGAGCTATATATTACACTCCTCAAAGTTACTGTGAGAAGTAAATGCATTTACAGAGGTAAAAATGCTTAGTACAGCCCAATATAATTAGCACACAATATTATCTATTTTTCTTATGATTATGTTCAATCAGTTATCAAGTGTTTGGTTATCAATTACCAATTTTATGTGATAATTGGTTCTCAAATCACCTTTTTTCTTCATAACTTCTTTTCTTACATAACTTCTTTCTTCATAACTTCTTCCCTTGCCTTAAGATCTGTGCCACCTTTTACAAAACTTGCCAGTTTTCCTGACTTCCTTTGGGCTTGTTGCTTCATATTTGACCTCCACAGCACATACAAAACACCACAGGGCCTTGTTCAGTGGCACACAAGCCCTATAGTTAAGGTTTCTCTGTGGAACTCCCTACTCGACCCCACATACAAATCAAAAGTTGCAAACTTTCTCCCACACACCATGTAACTGCTCATGCTGTTGCCTCTATTGCAATCTACTTCCCTGGTTTGCTGTCTACTCTTAATACTCTTAGGCTCAGCTGAGACAATGTCCTTGATCTTTGTGAGCTCCAGCCTTTCTATGTCTGATCTGGGAGGTGTATACATGTCTCTTACATTGAACTGAAACACACAGATGATAAAAACATTATCTATCTTGGAGCATGAGTTAAGCACAACTCCTAAGATTCTAGTACACTGTAGGTGCTCAGTAAAGTAATGACCAAATAAAATGGACTGGCTTACTGATTACCTAGACTGCAGTATTTTCTCAGCTTTCCACACAGAGAAAATGTGGCTAGGCTTCCAAAGAGCTTAGGTGTTTTGATTTTTAAGCACACTTAAGGAAAGGCACAGACTTTCTTTAGAAAAATGGAAATCGTAGTAACTCCTACCTATTTTGAAGGATTACTGTAAGCAGTAATACAAAAAAGTGCTGGGTGAAGCCACCTTCCATTTGAAGTCATTTATACTTTCCACAACTGTCAGTAGTTCAACATTCATAGATGGCTAGTAATATTACCAGTGGATTTTTTTTCTAACTTAACTGAAATGAGAGTTTTCTGAAACTGGTCTGTTTAGTGTTTTTGAGACAGCTAATACAGAAATACAAAACCATCAAAATTAGAGGACTTTTCTTTAAGAGAACTGAATTGACTAGATGAGGAAAAATACAATTGCTTGATGCCCAGGATTCCATTCCAGTGGCTCTGATTTAAGTGGTCTATGCTAGGATCTAAGTAGAAAATATTTTTAAAGTTCCCCATATAATTCTTAAGTGGAGCAAGCATTAAGATGCACTCCCATGAAATCTATAAACTTTGCGCCTTTATTTTTCAATGTTGTTACCTAGAAAATAGTGGAAATTATGCTTAGGTTTTGGATGACTGAATATCCTTATGAAATACAATTAATCAGTAAATGTTAAATGGAACTCTTATTCTCAATACCTTGGGTCATCATTGAGTAAAGTTTGAGTTATGAAAACAATCTGGTCAATAAGCAGTTACATCTATAATAGAAATGAACACTTAAAGTCCTTTGAAAGACAATTAAAACAAGAAACCAAATTACAAAATCATCATCTTAATTAACCCACAATCAAGAGCATACTAAAACATGGGTAAGTTTAGAACATAATTGAGAGCAGTAACATTTCCAAAATATTAAGCTGCAAGTTCTCTGTGAATAAATACCTATTTGTGGACATTACATAATCTTCTCTAGTCATGAAAAGTAATCTCAGCAAAGTACTGACTAGGTACAGTTTTTATGCTTGCATCTTGATGGGTCCTGGAGAAGCCTGAAATGACTATGAACATGAACTCAATTTTTAAAGTTACACTGAGTACGACAATTTTAGTATTAGAATCTTAAAATGAAAATGATAAAAGCTAAACCAATCATATCACATTCTAGAAACTTCTATTTTTCTTCCACATTGAAGTCCTATTTACTGACTCTCTCAATCAAAAAACCTACTAAAGGGGATCAGGACGTGCAACCCAAAGTAAGCCATCTGGGCATAAGAATGACTTTGAGCTGAAGGCAACTGAGTTCCAGAAATCCTTTATCTGCCCGAAAGCAGAGGATCCCCAAAGAACTCAAATGTCATAAATCCTCTCTCCAAGCAACTCTAATCTTCCCTGGCCCACACCCAGACCTTGTCACAAGGTATCATGTCTCCCATTATCCTCCTTGGAGTCCATTTATTTTTCAAAAAGTCATTTGTTTTCCATTATGCCCTTTTCCCCCCTCCACCCAGTAAGTTAGACATATAGTTCCTGAGTTCTAGGTACTCACATGTGTGTACATGAAACATGAATTAATAAACCTGTTTTTCCTCATCTTTTATCAGTCCGACAGGGCCTCTGCTGGAGAATCTATAAGGATGGAAGGAAAGATAATTTTTTCCCCTCCCCTACAATATTGGTATTTGACTTTTTTAATGTAACCTAGTCTTAAAAGCTATTTTTAATAATATTATAAAAAATACAAGCACCTGAGTCAAAATTTTAAAATGCTTTCAGACTCTGGGCCTAACATCTTTAATTTTTCATAGCAAATATTAAAAAACCAAAAGTTATACTGAAGTGCTTACTACGTTTGTAAAACTGCCATAAAAATGTAATGGTGAAATATTTATATAATGTACATGCAGTTCCAGAGTAAAATCAGTCTCCACGTCATGAAAATCCTTACTGAACAATATCTTTTATAAAGGTAATTTAACCCATGTTACCAATGTTATTTATCTTTTATTAAAAGATCAATTTAAAAGGTAAAACTATATGGGACAAAATAATTTCAAATTAAACTTTCCTACTTGAAAAACATAGCTAAATTTTACAATAGAAGAGACTGGAAATAATATCTTACTGGTTTTAATAGTGACACATTAAATAAAGGTTGATGTAATCCTAAATACCACTGGAAGTTAAAGAAGCATAAACATAGACCTGTGATAAGCAGTCATGTAGGCAAATATGGGAAAATGCCTACTGAATTAGCAGAGAATTAGTTTCAGAAGGATCAAGTACTTTTGTCACATGAAAAAGCACATAAAGGTCACAAAACAAAACATACTTATTACTTTTAGCATATTAAAATCACATCAAAAAGTATAGATAAAAAATGTCATAGATGACATAAGAAAATAGTGTGTGTGTGTATATATATATATTTTGCACATATATATAGATAGATAAATCTACAGCTTTTATCACTATTGATATATATTTGGGAGCAGCGCAGATTCTGCTATCATACATTAAATTGTACAACTTGGTTTATTACAAGTCACAGAATCATGGTTTTAAAAATCAGAATATCCTCAGCTACATTTTTATATACATTTATTTCTAAGCTTCCATATAATCTGAATCAAGAGCCCAGTGACACCAGGATTTTGTCTGATTTTCAGTGTAGTGCTTAGTTGCTAATACACTGCATTTGCTTTGCCATTTAATAACATCATTACTTAGTTGATTAAAATTACATTAAACTCATTATATACATAAAAAATATTGTCACATTCACTAGCTAAACAAATGTTACTCTCATTTTAAAAGACAGACTTCTGTACCTTGAAAGCTTGAAGCCCTAACAAGAGCCACCAGTATTAGGCTTTCTACTCTCTAAAATTCAAATATGAGCACAGTAATGTTACAAGCCCTCCAATTTAAACACAAATTCACACTTTTTTTTTTTTTGGAGTGCTTAGAATTTTGTATTTTGATAACTGTAGTGTAATAGAGAATTTTTTAAAGAAAATTTTTTAAAAGACACTGCTAATTTTTTACCATGAACCTGAAATTTTTCACTGAAAAAAAAAAACAAAAACAAACATGGAAAGTATGGAAGTCACCATATTTTTAAAAATACTATAATTTACACCATGATACTTTAATGGCCTAAGTGTAGCAATACCTATGGACACTACATTGCCTAAAAAAAAGTGCCAAAAAAAGATCACATAATGATCACAGGCCCTTGATATCTGGAGGCTCTACAGGAACTTAATGAGCAGAAGTGTTAATCTTGCTTTCAAATGAATTCCAAAGGGGTTTATTCTGCTGCCCCCCTTGTAAGTACATGTAGAACCCACTGGGAGCAGAGAGGCAGCATTTTCTGCACATCTGGTTAAGAACATCCTGCTTAAGTTTTGCAAGAGCCAAAACAGAACAAAGGGCACCGAGGCACCAATCTGACCACTGTGTGTGTACATTAAGTGCTGCACTGCTGGCCATAAACTTACTTTAACTGCCCTGATTTTTAAGCACCATTAAAGGTGAGCCTTTCCCTCCAATGACTACTTTTTCAGATTTAAAGAATGCAGCAATCGAATGAGGATAATAGACATTCCGTGAGATGTTGAACTGAGTCAGGGCACACACTTGTTAGTTTAGGATCTGGATTAAATATAAGGAAAAATACTTGACCAAAGACAAGTGAAGAAAAATAAATTATTCCACAGATCTAGATTAAAAGTAGTTTTTTTAACATTACTTTAGTTCTGTGTTCAAATGTGTATGCATAGATGCCTATAATATTTCTTAAAAGTCACATACACTACATATAATCTTAAAAATATTCATTCTACACAGTTTTCAGTGCTCAGTAACATTATTCAAAATAGAATGGGCTAATAGAGTTAAAAAAAAAAAGGTCAGGTTTTAGAGAAAGATATAAATGAAATTCAACAATGAATTATTACTGTGCGTGCATCCCTAAATGCTATTGCTATGTCTCCATGTTAAAGTCTTTCTAACAGGTTCAGTGATGATGCAATTTAAAATGCTCATCTTAAGCAGCATCTACATGGGGAAAAAAAACACATCCATATATTCTTATTACTAACATACATTAGAATTGTGCGAGTTGTTTACAATAGTATAAAATACTGCTTTGGCAATTACAAACATAGCAATGTAAGTTTCATATGGTTGCTACTCTCTTATATTTAGCCAGTATAGGTAAATTCTCACAGCAATACTGATTCTTGAATAGAAAGTCCATCCCGATTTCTGTAGTGATATGTTGGAGGCGCTGGCCCTGTATACTGATACCCAGAAGAACTAGCATCTTCTAGAGCTGGTGAAGTTCTATACCGCACTGGACTGTCCACAGAAACTGCGGGGAGGTTGTGGTCCTGAAAGGGCACGTGCTGGAAGGCTGAATATTTTGGTAAACTGCTTAAGTGGCCATGGTTAGCATCTTGAGTCCACGATTGTCCATGCACCTCAGGTCTATATGTATAACCAACTTCTGACCATTTTCTGCTATCTGGCAAATAATCCACTGGAGGGACAATTAATTTTCCATTCTTTGGTGACCCTGAATTACCCAAATATCCCCCAGTACCAATATCAACAGGGAGAACTTCTATTCGACTGGATGGCAGTACAAGAGGAGTTGGGCGGCTGTACGATTTCTCTGGAGAACCATCAACTGAAAGAGTAGAACCATAAGGTCTCCTGGAAGGATTCACCTGAGTCCCATGACTAAACTGTGGAGGCATGAAGTTGCTATTAGTAGTAGGGACTTGTTTTGGAGAATTTCCATGGTAGATTGGGGGATTACTGTAAGATGGTGGGTGCATTGTCCCTCGATCTTCCCCCTCTACCTGAGATGGGTGTCTTGCATAACTTGTAGGCTGCACTCTAAAAGTAAACTTGTTTGGTATTTTTGATGGACTAGAACTTGGCTCAGCATGCCTTCTTGGACTGTGAGAGTAAATAATATTCCTGGGACTTTGAGAGTAAGCCCTTTCTCGTGCCTCTTCAATAGAAGCTCCATTTTCATTTTCAGGTACATTGTCATACTGTGATGCATTAGACCCACGTTTCCCTTCATCAGCATTCAAAACCTTCATCTTTTGCCTTCCATTTGATAGCTGAGGATCAGTCGAACTTGGTATGGTAACGGTCAGTGTGGGATGTGCTAATCTACTTTTGCCTTCCATGGCATATTTGGCCGTTTTTTCAATAGCTGAAGTATCAGATGGTTTATTCCATTTGGGTACAAATTCCTTCCTGATGTTTGAAGTAGCATTGCTATTTTGATTAGCAGCTGCATGGTTATATTGCCTGGAATCGGTTTGTGCACCTGACTGAAGTTTTCTTGGAAAGACTGCCTCATCTTTAAGCTTTTTACTGTCCTCCTCCACTGATTTCTGTCTTGGTTGCCTTACTTGTTCTGGAGTACCAGTTCGACTGTGATGGTGAGGTGAATACTCATGTTTTTTGTGAGGTGATGAGCCACTTTCTCTTCTGCCACTAGTATGGGGACTTGACCTGCCAACATTTCTCTGTCCATTGCTCACTAGACTTATGTTGGCAAATTGAGATTCAGGTGGAAGTTGCCCCAGTGGTTTCCTTGGATATTCATCTTCTTTACCTAAATGAAAAAACAGATTCATAAATACCAATGAATACACAGAGCCATAGATAAGAAGCACATTATGAATAGCTGTTTACTTCTATATGCATATACACACACACAAATATCTGCATAAATAAACCCCACAGGATTTTAGTGGCTTAGAAACATTTTTTGGAGACTGATAATAAGACATACCTAAACTTACAATCTTACTAGGCAATTTGCAGGTAGGAATATTTTAGAATCTTGTAACATTCACACAATTGTGTAACACAATTCCATATTTTGTTAAGATATATTGCTACCTGCTGTCTTAAGAGTGTAGGCTGATATTCTAATTTCTGTTCTAAAACAATCAATAATTCAATGCCCTATCATTACATTAAAGCTTCACTTTAGTCTATAGCAACTAGAAGTTTTGAAATCTCAGAAAGCTTCACCTATCAATTTCAAGCAGGTCTGCCAAATTCAAAAGTCAGCTGAATTCAAAAACCTACTAGGTCTCTAAACTGTCCCCAAATAGCTTAGTTATTGTATTTTCATCATCTCTAGTACCTTCCATCACATAAATTCATGATAAAAAGAAGTGGTACTCTTATTTCAAAGTTAACAATCTTCACAGATCTAACTTTAAATGCATAAAGATTAAAAAAGACAGAATCATACTGGTTATTTTTAGCTTTACATATATATGTACCATTAATGAGGAATTAAAGTAAGGTACAATAAATTGGCCATTAAGAATAATCTACTGCTATACAGACATTCAATATCATCTTGAAAAAAAAAAACAGAAGACTTCATTCTAAAAATACTGTTCTGTAAAAAGTGTATTTTTCAAGTTTTTCATCTGTTACTAAGAAAAAATTTCATTTAAAAATTAGTTGAGGGCTCTCCCTGGTGGCGCAATAGGTTAAAGCACCGCATTATGAAGCTCTCCAAAGCCACTAGAGCTGGAGTTTGATCCCTGGCCAGGGAGCTGACCCACAAGCGTGACAAACCTCTTCTGACCCACCCGCTGTTCCCCTCAGCAGTGTACTTTGTCAATCTGCCTGTTCTGCTCCCCACTCTGTCTGTGATGAATCCTCTCACCGCCCCTGCACCTCTGGCCTGTAACCCAGTTCTGTAAGCATAAATAAATAAATCTTTTAAAAAAAAATAGTTGATAATACCATTCATAGCAACATGGATGAGCTAGAAGGGATTACGTTCAGTGAAAAAAGAAAAGTAACAGATGGTTTCACTTGTAGGAGGAAAATAGGGGAGCAAACAAGGGGGAAAATAATAAAAAGCACAATACAACAAAACAAAAATAAACACACAACTATAAATCAGAGACACTTTGCAGAGGAAGGGGAGGAAGAAGCATCTACATGAGGGTGGGAAGAGCATAAGGGACTACTGTGAAGGTGCATGGGTGAAATGGTGGTAGAAATTCTATGGGGTGACCCACAAGGCACAGCAGACCTCTCCTGTCTCACCTGCTGCTTCCCTCAGCAGTGTACCTGGGCATTCCACCTGTTCTGTTCCCCACTATGTCTCTGGTGATTCCTCTCACCACCCCTGCACCTCTGGTCTATACCCCAGTTCTGTATTCATAAATAAATAAATATTTTTTTAAATGTTAGATATATATAAATTTTAAAAAAAATTAGTTGGAATTTCCATTCATCCATCTAGCTAACATACTTAATATACAGCCAGCTACACTATAGACACTGTGCTAGGCCACAATGTATTTGTCATGAGCAGATGGACATGAACATAGTCTGTTTTTGTGTAGTTTGTAGTCTTGACAATAAATGTGTTATTTATCTACATAGCATAATTTTTAAAAGATATATAAAGCATATTTAGCTCAGTGGAATAAGCTAGAAAGAAAAAGAACTATCAGATGATTTCACTTATAGGAGGAATGTAGAACCAAATAAGGGATCAGGAAGAAAAAAGTAATTATAATAAATTAAAAAGCATAATCAACAGTAAACTGTAGTCAGAAACATTCTGCGGGGGGGGGGGAGAGGGAGTATGATGAAAACAGGGAGAGAAGAACACAAGGAACTATGGTGAAAGGTTCACAGGTAAATTGGTGGTAGGAATTTCACAGAGAGGGTCTCTCTACACCTGACAGGAGAAAGCAAACATTGTACAAAAATGAAGAATGATGTAAGGTATGTGACATTTTAAAATTTAATTTTAAAAAATATAATTTTAAAAAATCTACATCAAAACAAAGGGTTAATACCTGATTTAAAAACAGCAACAACATATATTCTACATATTTTTCTTTGGGAGGGTCGGGAAAAGAAAATGATGAAAACACTGTATCTTTCATATAATTAAGGCACCAGAATCAGAATTACAGGGGGAGAAAGCTGATTTCTTCATATGAAACCCCAATCTAAAGTAAGGAGTATCAGGGTACCTCACAGTCACCCCTCTTCCCTCTTCCTTCAACCAGACAGTTTCTTAGAGTCGTAGGACTCCAGAAAGAAGTTTTCCTGCCTGTGTTTTATAAATGGGAAAATTGAGTCTAAGAGACTCCTGAGAACCAGGACTCAGAATTTTCACTCCCCATTCACTGTTTTCTTCCACTATGCCATCTTCATTAAACTCCAACAAAACTCTGTATGGCTTTAACTTTACTTTGACAATATTTGTAAAAGTCCTTTGTTTTATAAATTTGAAAACATACAACATTACAATTACAATGTTTTATTCATTTATTCATTGAACAAATGCATCCTAACCAAGCATCTGCCAAGTACCACAACATTCCAGGTGCTGGCAGTCAAAGGGCAAAATAGACGGAAATCAGCCCTGTCTTTAGGGAGTTTATATTCCAGTGGTGCAGAGAGCTATAGAAAGCAGTGCCAGGATAAAACTATTAAAATGATTTGAAATAGGGCAGGACTGAGCAGGTAAGTGGCCCAGCAAGAACAAAGGCACTCTGTGCCTAGAGTAGGAGGCGGACAGAAAAGCATCACATCACATAGGGACCTGAAGACAACAGTAAGGACTCTGGATTGTTTTTTGGTTTTTTTCTGAGTCATACTACTAGAAGCTTTCCAGCAGGAAAGTAACATGATATGATGTCTGTCTTGCAAAGTTCGGTTTGAACGGCAGGTTGGATTTAGATTGTGTAATAACTAATGATGACAATTATAACAGTGACAGCTGATACTCATTAAGCATTTATGACAGCTGATACTCATTAAGCATTTACCCTGTGTCGGTCACTACTGCAAAAGTAAAGTCATACATACAGTGTTAGCAGCAAGAACAGATGACAATCACTACTACCGTACTCATTTTATACATGAACTTGCCCAAGGGCTCACAGCTAGTAAGCAGCAGATGCAGAATTCAAACCCAGAGTTGAACCCCTTTGCTCTTTACTCATATACTAGACTATGGTGGAAACAGTGAGAAGAATTTGCTTTTCAGTCATAATTAGATGTTAACTGAGAGGTATTAGCAAAGTAAAGGAAGGCTCCTGGTAAAGACAGTAACAGATATTATACAGCAATGATTGGCATAACCAATCATGTTGGTTTTACAAAAATATATATTTTATAATTACTTCAGCATACATAAATAAAATGTAGACAAGTTATTTTAAGTGATAAACCAAACTTTAAAATGATTGTCAGTGAGACAAGTATTCATAAAGAAAACTTCTGTTGTATATGAAGCAACATATAACAATTCAGCTACCTAACTTCATAAGAAATACCTGGAAATGAGATATTAAAAAAAAAATTTGACCTAAGTGCAGCCTGAGTCAAGAATGTTCACAAGTATTATCTGACAATATCAGGTTAAAAACTAACAATAAAGATAAAATTATTAATATCACAAACCCAAAGTGTTTTTATCTGCAAATAGTTATCCATATATTTCCAGATAACTATATGAATTCCTTCTTCCCTGTGGGCAAGTAATTCCAACAACAAAAAAATTATCAAGAAGATATAAAGACATACAGAATTGAAAAACCCAATTTATGAATTTTTCTTTTAGCCGCTACTCTAATAACTATCACAATGCATTAGTGTGGATAGCTAAGTCAATGACTGGTTGACAGTCCACCATATATAAATATCAGCCAATCATCAAAATCTTTTTTTCAGGTTGGTGAGTAGAAACCTGGGGAAAAACATAACCATTAAAAAGAAAAGCCAGTAGTGGCACCTGCAGAAAGAGCCACCAATATTTTAGTTCATATGAAGTAATTTAAAAGGCTAATAAAAATCTCCAAAGCAATATTTTAAGGGAGGCAGGAGGAATTTCACAATAAACTAGTATTGCCCTTCTCTTGCAATCTATCAGTGAAAGCTTCCAATGCTTCTCTTAGACCAAATCCTGTTTTCAATGTTTTGATCTATATCCATTCACAACTCATGAAAACAAAATTCACTTGAAATTAGGTGTTTTAAAGGCTAGCTACATGCTGTGGACTGAATGGCCCTGTCTCCCCGAAATTCACATGTTGAAATTTACAATGTGGTGGTATTTGGAGATGGAGCTTCTGTAGGTAATCTGTCATAAGGCAAGACATCATGGTTTCGACCTTGCCCTTTACAAAAATCAGCTTTAAAAGTAGCCATGCTGTGCCACAGGAACTACAGCCCAGGGTACCCCCACACTGTGGTCAGCAGTAGAGCAAGCAGTTGCCCCTGGCAGAGCATAGAGCAACACCTGCTTGGACAAACAGCAGTCAGGTAGGAAGCCCTGGAGCAGACATACGGGGACCACCTCTCTTTTCTGCTATTCACCTTCCTGAATGCTAATGAGTAAGAAGAAAGGAAAGTCTAATACTTGATTAAAATATGCAAAGTACTGGACAGTGCTTGGCAGATAGTAGTGCTGGGCACCAGAGTTGAGAAAGATGTGTCAGAGAAGAAATCTGTGTTCTTTTTTCCCATTCCTTATATTCTAATAGCTACAGATTTTCAGTCTGGATCCTGTAGACATAGGAAAGGCACACAGTGGTAAAGACTAACAGGGCACAT